TTTTTTTTTTTTTTTTTGCATGTTTTTAAAAGGTTGAAGTTTTTACTTTTAGATATATCTTACTGAGTTTTTAATTGGTTTTTGTGTTTGTTTATTTATATTTATGAGTGGTTTGCCTGAACGTATGTATGTGGACCATGTGTGTGCCTGATGGCTGTGGAGGGCAGACAGGGGCGTCAGACTTGGGCACCTGAGAACAGGTTGTGAGCCGTGGTTGGCTGTGGGGAAGGAACACTGTAGCGTCGCACCTCATCACAAAGAATGAACTTCCCCTGTGTCAGATGATGAGTTCCAGTTACTGCAGAGGAACTTCCTGGACAAGTACTACCAGGAGTTTGAAGACACAGAAGAGAATAAACTCACCTACACCCCCATTTTTAATGAATATGTAAGTAGATCTGTTTCTCCTACCAGAAGATTAGGGTTTCTTTAAAATTTGAACTTAAATCCCTTTTATATATAACTAATATATTCTATCAAGAAGTTTGGATTAGAATCAAGATGTTACAGAGCTTAGTAACACGTGTAAACCAGCACTAAGGAGGCTGAGGCTAGAGGATGGCTGCAAGTTATAAGCCTGCCTGGGCTACCTACTGAATTTCAAGTCAACTTAGGTTTTTTGGCAAGATTATTTCTTTAAAGAAAAGATGGAATTGGTTCCTTTTTATGAAGGCCAGCACAGCCAGGAGCAATGCTGGTGAATCTGGTCTAGATCGCTTTCTCTTGCCAGATCTTGGAGCCAGTTTCAAAAGGGCATTTGTGAAGTATTTGATGAGCTTGCAACGTGTTGATTACAACAGATTTGCCTTTCCATAGTCTTGTGATACCTTGCATTTGTGTGCTGTGAGAAATAAACAACAGTGCCAGCAAAGAGATGGAGGGAGAGAACTGAGTCCATAGACACTGTCCTGTGACATCCACGTGCACATTGTGAGCATGGTGCTCACTCATACATGCATCATACACCCAGTAATGATAGATAAAATAAAAAACACAGGGCTGGACAAGATGGCTTCTAGAGGACTGTCAGTTCCAACGCCTACGTCCAGGGGCTAACAACTACCTATAACTCTAGTTCTAGAGGATCCAACACCCTCTTCTGGCTTCTGCAGACATCTGCACTCACTCATGTCATACATGCGCGCATGTGATGACTGCCCAGGGTAGGTGGAGGCTCTGCAAAGAAGTCTCACTTCTCCCCGAGGGCCCACACAGTCCTGTCCCGCTGTTGCAGATTTCCCTGGTAGAGAAGTACATTGAAGAGCAGCTGCTGGAACGGATCCCAGGCTTCAACATGGCGGCTTTCACAACAACGCTGCAGTGAGTGAGCTTGACTCAGGTTCTATGCTGCCCATCTTCCTCCCTAGACTGAAGAAAACCCACTCTCTCTCCTTTTCTTCACCGAGAGCCCTGGGTGGCTGGGTCCTGAGTGGGAGGCCCTCTATGCCTTTGCAAGGCATTTTTTTTTTTCATTTTTATTTTTGAAGAGATTTATGTATTCGTTTTTTAAATGTATGTGTATGTATGTGAGTCTGCATGAGTTTATATGCACCATGTGTGTGCAGGAGCACAGAGAGGCCAGGAGAGGGTTTTAAGTCCTCTAGAACTGGAGTTATAGGCACCTGTGAGTGGCCACATGCATGCTGGGAACCCTGGGTCCTCTGCAAGAGCAGCAAGTGCTCTTAACCACTGAGCCTTCTCTCCAGCCCCTATTTTTATTTATTTATTTATTTATTTTGAGACAGGATCTCTTACAGCCAAGGATGGCCACAAGCATGATCCTTCTGCCCCCACCCAGGAGCTGACAGGCATGCTCCCCATGCCAGGCTCGTGCACCTGGGAAGGGAGTCTGTCTTCCTGTTGATTCACAAAGCCAGTGTTCTGTCCTTTGCAGGCACCATAAGGATGAAGTGGCTGGTGACATCTTTGACATGCTGCTCACATTCACGGATTTTCTGGCTTTCAAGGAGATGTTCCTGTACTACAGAGCAGTAAGTTACGACTGCTCACACACTTAGCCCCAGTGAGCCACGCGGGAAGTAAGGGGTGGAGCTGCAGAGACAGCCAGCTGCCCTGGACCCTCCACCTTTTGTCCCCCTTTGAGATGGCTAGTACTAGTTGTTAGTTTTGAGGAATAGATAGAAGTTGCTGCTCCATGCTGCCTTTCTATGTCTTGATGCAACTTGCCCAGTGTTCCCAGCAAAGAGCCAGGCTCTCTTTACTGTGCAGGCTCCTTTAAATTAAAACAAAGCTCCAAGCAGTGAGCAGCTGCCTCACTTGTTTATGAATGTTTTTATTGAGACAGTCTTACCGTTGTATAGCCTGGAATTTGCTATGTAGACCAAGCTGGCCTCAAATTCAGAGATCCTCCTGCCTCAGTCTCCTGAGTACTTGGATTAAAGGCGTGGCACTACCCATTCCCAGTTAGAGTCTTTGTTTGTTTGTTGAAATGGGGCTTCTCTGTGTATTCCTGGCTGTCTTGGAACTCACTCTGTAGACCAGGCTGGCCTTGAACTCAAAGAGATCCACCTGCCTCTGACTCCCACGTGCTGGGATTTGAGGCGTGCGCCACCACCACCTGGCCAGTCATGTTTGTTAAACTCACTACTTTTTTATGTGTATAAGTGTCTGCCTGCCTGCATGTATGTCTGTGCACTACATGCATGCCTGGTGCCCATGGAACTAAAGTTAAGAGACGGTTATGTGGGAGTCAAATCCATGTTCTCTGGAAAAGCAGCCAATGCTTTTAACCAAGCCCTTTCCCCAGCCCCAAAGGTCTTTTTCCCCCAGCGTGTCTAAGGCCAGAGTTGAGAAAAAATGGAAATAACCTGCTGCCTGCCCTCCTGTGTGAGATAACCTGCTGCCTGCCCTCCTGTGTGA